ATATATATATCAGAGTTGGATTCTGGTACTTCCCCAAGTGGTGTCCTTGCCCAACTGGCAGGATAGGTTTTCTGGAACATTTTGCTGTTGATCTGTTGGTGACATCAGACCTCTGTAAATGGTGTGGGAGATGCTGTTTCCGCCACATGAGGATTCGATGGCAGAATCAACACAACCTGTGAAATCAATCAGAATGGTGCAGGTGAGTGAGTCAACCAAGTAGCCATATCATCGTCAGACCCTACTCTCTCTTCTCTGGATTCACTCTCTAGATCAACTTGGTGGGGTTTCTCTGGCATTCTGGAGATCAGACTGGATCTTGGAAAAATATGCATTGATAGCTCTTGGCATGAGATGCTGACAGTGACCCTGTAAGTGGATGATGCTGCCCAGCAAGTGGAGTAAACCAAGGTGTTAAGGGAAATTTAGTGCTCTTCTTCCAAATTAGGTTCTTTATGTATGATGGCAACAACACACCCAAATCCTGATTTGCTGGCCATGACTCAATCATTTCAAAAACTACGCTGACTCAGAATGGAAGGAATCATCAGGAAACGGAGGAAAATGCTGGTCTTTCTTCCACAAACCCAGTGTGAAATTGTGTGGGGGTGTAGGGGTGCGGGGTGGGATGGAACCGGGAAGAGACGAAACTTAGGCATCACATGCCTCAAAGACCTTGCTCCTCCGGATCCACACCAAGAGAATTGTGGGAGCAGCATTTCCAGCTCTGTAACTCCAGGGGCAGAAGGGAGCTCAGGTCTAGACATTACGACACTAAAGCATTTGCTCCCTTGTGCAAATGCTTTGGTCAATGAAAATAAGACGCTTCACCTAATGAAATTGCAGTCATTACGAATTGCTGAAAACCCTAACTTCTAGGGCCTTGACATGCAGAGGTCCACTAATAGAGTTAGTCCATCTGTCTTCTGTGGGGCAGGAGATGTGGTGAAGCATGGAAACCCCAAAAGAAAGTAAAGAGGCACAAAATGGGGGAGAAGAGCAAGAGAGAAATAATCTCGCCAAGTGATTACTGTCTTATGATTTGCCTTTGGGTAATCAAATTAATGAGCAGCTCCTGGCATTTTAATTCAGTTCATGGAAGGGATCCTTCTCCTTTTCTTCCTGGTGCCTCTTGGTCTTTTCTCTCTCTCTTCCCATGTACCAATCCTCTCTCTACGTGATGTTCTTTCTGCTCAGTGGCCAGGAAGATCTGCTGCCAGTCTCCGGGTAAGAGATGGGCAGATGTGTGCACATTGGTAGAAAAGTTTGAAAGCCTGACTTTCTTCAGTAGCCCAGGGAAGGTTGCTATGATAGGGGTAATGGGTCGAAACCTGGCACTCTCTGGGGTCCTCTCCATTGTGAAGTACTCTCTGATCTGGACTAAGAGAGGAGGCCCTTTGTGGGAGCGAGGATGGAGAAAATGAGCTTTTCTTTATTCACTGTGGTAGGCAAGATGCTAAGATGACACCCAGTGACCCATGCCCTCGTGTGACTCCCTCTCCTTGTGTATGGGTGGGACCTGTGTATAATGGGATGTCACTCCTGTGAGTAGGTAACCAATCAGGTGACTTTGAGTTTATCAAAGAGGATATTATTCTTTGGACATTTTGCCAAAGAAGACATACAGATAGCCCGTAGGAAAAGACGCTTAACGTCACTAAGTATCAGGAGAATGCAAGTCAAAACCACAATGAGATATCACCTAAAAACCTGTCAGAATGGCTAGAATGAAAAACGACAGGAATTAAGTGTTGACAAGGATGTGGAGAAAGGAGAACCCTTGTACGCTGTTGGTGGGAATGTAAATCGGTGCAGCCACTGTGGAAAATAGTATGGTGGTTCCTCAAAAAATTAAAAATAGAACTACCATATCATCCGGTAATTCCACTATTGGGTATTTACCCAGAGAACACGAAAACACGAATTTGTAAAGGTATATGTTTACTGCAACATTATTTGCAATAGCCAAGACATAGAAGCAACCCAAGCGTCCACTGATAAATAAAAGGATAAACAAGATGGGTACGTATGTGTATATGGATGGAACACAGCTCCATCCTTTTCCAAGAAAAGGATGCTGTCCTGCCATTTGCAGCAACACGGATGGTTACGCGAAGTGAAATAAGGCAGAGAAAGACAAAGACCATATGATTTCCCTTCCACGTGGAATCTAAAACACAACACAAAACCAGATTCTTAAACACAGAGAACAAACTTGTAGTTGCCAGAGGGGAGGAGGGTGGGAAGACGGGCGAAATAGACGAAGGGGATTAAGGGGTACCAACTTCCAGTTATAAAATAAATCAGTCACGAAGATGCAGAGTTAGGGAATATATCCATTATACTGTAAGAACCTTGTACGGTGACAGATGGTGACCACACTTCCTGTGGTGGGCAATCAGTAATGAATAGAACTGTCAAATCACTAAGCTGTACATCTGAAACTAACATAACACTGTATGTTAATTATACACCAGGGGTACCTGGGGGGCTCAGTCAGTTAAGCGTCCAACTCTTGATTTCGGCTCAGGTCATGATCTCAAGGTTCATGGGTTTGAGCCCTGCATCGGGCTCTTAGTTGACAGTGGGGAGCCTACTTGGGATATTCTCTCTCTCTCTCTCTCTCTCTCTCTCTCTCTCTCTCCTTCTCTCTGCTTCTCCCCCACTTGCTCTGTCTCTCTCAAATTAAATTAACTTAAAAAAAAAACTAAAAAAAATTATTCTTCAATTAAAAGAAGGACATTATTCTGGATAGACTTGACCTTATCATGTGAACTTTTTAAAAGGAACTGAAGGCATCAGAGGTTTTCACTCTCTTGCTGGCCTCAAAGTAGAAGTGAGTTGTGAGTTCCACTGCTGAGAGGAAATAAACTGCGTCATGGGAGCATGGAAGAGGATGAGAGGGCTCTGCTGAGACCGCAGCCCTAGCCCGCTTGTTGACTACAGGCTTGTCAGACCCAGAGCAGGGGGGGCCAGCTGAGGTGTGCCCAGGCTCGTCACCCATGGAACCTGAGAAGTAATAAATGTGTGCTGTTTAAGCCTCTACGTTTCTGTAATGTATTACACAGCAACAGGAAACTAATACAGACAGCTTCAAGGGAAGCCTGATACTCACCCCGCCAGGATGACAACAGGTGACTTTGCATCCAAAGGCAGATAGGGTCAGAGCAACGAAGAACTCTAGCACGGTTAAAAGGAGCACCACAGCATCCAGACTCTAGGAACAAATGCATAGCCAAGAACCGTGAGGAACAGAGATGACACGTTTAAAACACTGACCGTCTGGGGTACCTGAGTGCCTCAGTTGGTTAAGCGTCAGACTCTTGGTTTTGGCTCAGGTCATGATTTCACAGTTTGTAGGTTCGAGCCCAGCAGCAGACTTGGCACTGACAGTGTGGAGCCTGCTTGGGATTCTCTCTGTCTCCCTTTATCTCTGCCCTCCCTGGCTCGCACGCACTCTCTCTCTCTCTCTCTCAAAATAAATAAACAGACTTAAAGAAAAGAAAAGAAATCAAGCGCTGACCATCTGATTACAATGCCAAAAGAGAAGCCCTGGCCTGAGGTCAGAAAAACTGGCTCCTAATGGCAGCCATACCCTTGGCCAATTCTTGGCCTGTTGAGTATCACTCATGCTTCCAGTTTTTCCATTAATAAAACAATCGCTGTTCCCTACACTCTACCTTCCACTGCTATTGTAGGTACAGAATGTGAAAACTATTTAAAGGGGCGGGGGCGGGGTTAGGGGCATAAAGATAACTTAGTTCTTTCAAGCACCAGAGGTTCCATAGAGCTGACACAACAGTATCATCTCCCGTCTTGGTAGTTATAGGCAGAGTCATAATTGTGGACAGAATATCAATAGACCAAAGAGGTCCACATCTTCCTCTCCAGAAGCTCTGGAGATGTCTCGTTACATAGCCAAGCAGAATTAACTTTGCAGATGAAATGAAGGTTGGTTATTAACTGACCTTGAGATGGAGGGATTATTCTGAGATTATCTGGGTGGGCCCCAAATAGTTAGAGAATCCTTCTAAGTGGAAGTGGGAAGCAAAAGAGTCAAAGTCCAAGAGACATTTGAAGATGCTGCACTGCTGGCTTCGAAGATAGGATTTGACCACAAGCCACGGAATGTAGGCAGCCTCGAGCAGCCAGCAAAGGCAAGGAAACAGATTCTCCCTCGCAGCTTCCAGAGAGGAATGTAGTCCTGCCAGCACTTTGATTTTCACCCAGTGAGAACCATTCCAAACTTCTGACTTCCAGAATTGTATGATGGTAAATTTATGTTGTCTCAGGTCACTAAATTGGCAGTAGTTTGTTACAGCGACAAGAAGAAACTAACCTAACAATGAACACCCAGTTAGTCAGTCTGTGACCCATCTCCCCAGAGAACTGGCTTTGGGCTTATCTTCAGCCAATACATATGGTCAGATTTGAGAAACACTAGGTAGTCCTCTTACTACCCTAAAAATCTGAATTGGATGCCTGGAATTCTTTGGTCTAAATATTCTTTTTCTCTCCATGGATAGGGATCATACCTATCTTCTTGTGGAAAAGTCAATAGACCCAAGAGTCCAGACACAGTGACACAGTGTGACACAGACTCAGCTGAGCCTTGAGAATATTTGCATTTGTCATTTCCTTATCTATTTACTCATCTCTTCAACATATCATAGCCTCTATGTTTCAGGAATTGTCATAGGCACAGAAGACAGAACAGCAAATAAATAGACGATTTCCCTAACCTTGAGGATGCTACAATCTGGTAGGGTAGACCAGGAATTGACAAACTTTCTACAAGGGGCCAGCTAACACATATTTTAGGTTTTACAGCCCATAAGGTCTCTGTCACAAATACTCAATTCTCCAGTTATAGTACAAGAGCAGCCACAGATAATATGCAATCAAATGGATGTGGCTATGTTCCAATAAAACTTTATATTCAAAAAAAGAGTCAGGCTGGACTTCCAACAAAAAGTAGCTAAAATATATATAATACATGAGTTTGAGCCATATAAAGCCGCTGTCTTTCTAGATCAAGCAGAGTTGATCATTGGCAACTTCATACTGTTCTGCCTAATGACTCCAGATAGTGTGTGCTCTACTCTTTCCTACAAAGAGCTCACTTTTTCACTCTCCTTAGAATCACATTCAAAAGTAAGCCCTTGGGCCTTCATCAACCTCTAGCTGCTTCCCAAAGTTTATTTCTTTTAAAAACATTTTTTAATGTTTATTTATTTTGAGAGAGAGAGGATCCCCCAAGCAGTCTCTGCGCTGCCAGAACAGAGCCTGACATGGGGTTCAAACTCACGAACTGTGAGATCATGACTGAGCTGAAATCAAGAGTCAGATAAGCTTAGCGCCAGCCACTGCCTAGTCGGTTACGTCCGGGAATTTGGCTCAGGTCATGATTCACGGGTACTGAGTGTCCAGCTCCGGATCGCTCAGCTGACAGCTCAGAGCCTGGAGCCTGCCTTGATTCTAGGCTTCCTCTCTCTTCTGACCTCCTCCCCCCCTTCGTCTCCATTCTCTCTGTCTCAAAAATAAACATTAAAAAAAAAATTAAAAAAAAAAAAAGAGTCAGATGTTTGACCGACTGAGCCACCCAGGAGCTCTGTGCTCTCCAGTATTTCTATATTTTCCTCCAAGGAGCTTCCTACTGGTAGGAGCCTGGTCCCCTTCTTTCATCTCCCAGAGCGCCATCTGTAGGACCCACCATAAAATATGGGCTCACAGGTCTGTGGAATGACTGTGCAGGTGCCCCGGTAAGAACAGACCAGATACTTCAGATTCCAGGAACCCTAATGGATTTGCTCTGCTGTAAAGCCAGGCAGAAAAAGTGTTCACACAATAGGGATACGTGACAGCCTCTGGGAGAAGGTGATTGAGAAGAAGGTGGAACCAGCTACTTTATTTATAGGGCCTCTTGTTCAAAAATTATTAAGAACTTCACGACGGCAACAGTAGAGCAGTAAATCAGGTGTATCACTCTTCTAACTGGTAAGCCCCCTGTGCCTGCGCGGGTCCCACACCCAGGCAGCCAGCCCCACGCAGCTGGTCCATTCCAGATTTTGTCCTCGTCTACTGTGCCCTTGTAGACCTCAAGTAGAGAGAACTGCAGAAACTGAAAGTAGGCTTCTTCTTCAGGAGGAGGAGAGAGGACACTTGAATATAAATACAAACAGGGGCATCAGAGGCAGGAAGGCACAGAATCTCATCTTGCCCTTGTCAACTTCTCACCATCTGATCTTAGGGGGGAAGCATCTAAGTTCTCGGAAGAAACCCTCTGATTCTGAGGAAGCGGCAGGAAATAAACTTGCACTCCATAAGAGCTGTTAGAAATCTTAAGAGGAGTGGAAATTAGTTTAGCAGAGACACTCAAGAGATTATTTTGGTGTGACTGGATGGCACTCAGGATATATCTAGGATTAGAGGAGGCAGTGCAACTGATCTGCATTCGGGATAAGTTTGGAAGAATGCGGAGGTTCCACGTGTGGGTGAAGACAAGGGTCAGTGAGGGAGAGATGAGGCAGCACAGTGAAAGGCCGGAAGGTCTCATGCAGGAGAGACAAAAGGAATTCAGTGGTCCTGAGAATGGATAATAGACCTAAAAAAAATTTTTTTAAGTTTATTTATTTATTGAGAGAGAGAGAGAGAAAGGCAGAGGGATAGAGACAGAGACAGAGATAGAGATGGGGGGGGGAGAGAGAGAGAGAGAGAGAGAGAGAGAGAGAGAGAGAGAGAGAGAGAGAGAGAATCCCAAGCAGGCTCTGCACTGTCAGCCTGGAGCCCCACGCCGCACTTGAGCTCCCAAACTGCATGATCATGACATGAGCAGAAATCAAGATTTGGACGCTTAATTGATTGAGCCACCCAGGTGCCCCTAGGCTTTTTAATAATAAAGATGCTATTGCATTTTGGTCACAGCTGTGCCACAATAGCGCCTCCCTCCCCGTGCTTACCCAGTGGCCCACAGCTTCACCACCCGCACACTCTGGTGGAAGCGGCAATTTGGAGAACAGAGCCATTACGATAATACCTAAGTGAGGGCAGGTGCTACAGCCAAGTAGTGAAATACAGAATGGAAATTGAGAATTTGCCAGGAGTGGGATATTGAGGCTCAAAGGGCTTAATCTTTCAAGAGCATCCAGAGAGGTGGGGAGGGGTACTAGGTCATTCACCACTCATTGGATAATGTTCAAGACAATTTTACTCTATTATTAGAGAACCAGGTAACTCCATCAGGGAGCCCTGGGGACACACAGGGATTGACATCTGGGCTCCCTTTTTACAGTGGATTGCAGAATTGGTGATTTCGAATTAAACAGAAAGGAACAACAACAACAAAAAGATGAGATGTGGGCCTGCCTTCTGAATAAAAGATGGCCCTATTCTTCAATCATTTCCAATTTCCCAAAGTGAGTCATTTATCAGTTAGGGAATACAGTGTGGTACTTTTGCCAGGGCCAGGGCTCCTGTGCCTGGCTTCCCCTACAGTATCGCAGGAAGAGAGGAAGTGCTCACCAGTAAAATGGCCATGGCCATGGAACAACTCTCCAACCTCTGATAAAAGATGCAGGCAGAGACACCTGCTTGAAAGTCTTCCAAGGAGGAGATAGCGAAGGGGACCCCTACTCCGGCCAAGACAGAACTGAAGATGTTTAATCCTAGGCTAGTTTGAATCTAGAAAGAAAGGAAAATCAAGTCAACAATCCAACAGTATCCACGGGGGTGTTTCCATTAGCCACGTTGCACACATCACTTCTTGCCCCCCCCCCCCCCCCCCCCCCCCCCCCCCCCCCGCACCGGTCCCCCTTCTCTATCTTGATGACTGGACTGTCTCCTCTCTTGTTTCTTCCCTGAAACACAAGCCCTTTCAGGTTGTCTCCTGCCCAAACACAAATATGATTCTGTTGTTCCCAAGCTTGAATCCTTCAGACAACCCCTAGGCCCAGGAGATAAACTCTTTTTCACATGCCAGCTGGACAGATCTGTCTGCGCCCAACTCCCACGGCCCTCTAGGTCAGGTGCCTGGCTCCACCTTCTTTTCCAGATGCTGCTTGCCTCTGACGCCTCTGCGCTTTCTGTGGACGACCTCCCTCTGCTCTGCATTCCTTTTTCTGCATTCTCTTCTCTTGGTGAAGTTGTGGAAGCTTCTTAGAACAACCAAACTTCTCCAAGAAAGCATGAGAGGCTTAATGTGGCTGTAGCGTGAGGGAGATTTTAACAGTTACAGCTCGACAAGATGCTAGGGAGACAGACCGAGGTCAGATTTGGAAAAACCATACAGGTCATGCTCCATCGTCTGATCTTTATCCTTTGAGCAAAGAAAACTCAAATATGGTCTCTAGCCAGCAAACACATTGGTTGAGATCTAGGCCTTTGCCTTTTATTGGCTTTGTGAAAGGCATATTGGCATGAGAGTTATGTTTGAAATTTGTTTTTCCTTACTGAACAGACTTAACGTGAATTCCTTCCCCTACGAACCAAAAGAAAATCCTTTCTGTACACAGTCAGAATACACATTTTAATCAATAAGTCAATAAATATTTTGCCACACCAGCACGTGGTGCCACTGTTATGGGCTGAGTCTCAAGGTGCAGGCTCTGTTTGACGGGTCCCATTTTTACATTCCTTTTTAGGAATTCTCTTTATTTTCATAAAGAGTTTCTCAGCAACTGCCTTCCCGTATCAGAAATTTTATGATCAGCCATTTTTTTATTATAATTTCTGGAATACCAATGCAGCTATGTAAAACTTATAATCTCTCTTGATTTTTAAAAAACAAACAAACTCTATTTTCTACTCGGGCAGAATACATACTTGGTTAATCCCTCTTTTGGAACAAAAACACACACACAAACAAATGAAGAAAGCAAATATTACTCACCAGACCTTTTGTAGTTCTAATTCCTGCTACAACTGACAAGGACCCTGAAATAATAAACTAGTAACAAGAGAAAAAAAATGCAGTTAAAAAACCTTTAAACAAAAATTTGAAATCCCAACTTACTAACACTTACCCCTAACTGGGATAAATATGTTAAACAGACCAATTATATTGGAAGAAACACCAGAGATTGCAAATAAGTCTCCTCTTTTCCCAGAAACAACGGAGAAATTTTACCAGATGGATGCACAGGAGAGTTTATCAAGGCTTTCAAAAAAAGTCTCTCTGCAATGAGGGCCTTGAAACATAGTGAAAGTTTCTAAAATCCTGACATGAAGGAACCCTAATATGGTACCAGAACTTAATGAAATATTATAAAAGAAGAGAAACTAAAGCTTCTGTCTTAAAATATGACTATTAAAAGTTGTAAATAAAATGGTAGCAAAGAAAGTTTTTCAATTACATATTAGATGTTGATTATATTATTCCGTGTGGCTCCATCATTCGGGTAATTATTTTCCATATAGCTAAAACAGCTGGAATCAAGTTGATTAGACCTGCTGTCTTAAACTATTTGACTGTTGAATTTCTGGATTTGCTTTCCAAATTTGATTTCAGGAGTTTCAAAAATTGTATCTTAAACTTTTTTTTAATGTTTATTTATTTTTGAGAGAGAGAGAGAGAGCAGGGGAGGGGCAGAGAGAGAGGGAGGCACAGAATCCGAAGCAGGCTCCAGGCTCTGAGCTGTCAGCACAGAGCCTGACACGGGGCTTGAACTCACGACCGTGAGATCATGACCTGAGCCAAAGTCACAGGCTTAACCGACTGAGCCACCTAGGTGCTCCGAAAAATTGTATCTTAATACCAGAAAAAAGACTGATCTAATGAAACAGCTTGGTAGATTTCTTCAAACATTTCTCAGTACCAAAACATGGAAATGGTTAGGGTAAACTAAGTCACTTCTGGAAAAAAAAAAAAAGCAGGGAGAATCATCCATCATATTATATGAGATGCATCACGACTATGTGGGGTATTCTTTCAAATGTCCAGATATTTTAATATTGCATATTATTACAATTTACAAACACAGATTTGAGGAGAAAATTCACATGCTAATTGTTATTTATGTTTACAACGTGAAGACATTTTATATCATTCAACATTCTTATTGAGTTAACCATTATTTATAAAACATGAAGAGCTTCATTTGCTATAACACGATGGAACATTTGTCTCTAATATTAGACGTCTTTATCATGCTAACAGGGAAACACTAGGGCCATCTCTATTAGAGTCAAAATCAAGATAACGATGTAGATGGTTATGTATTACTCTCCTTAGTATATTAACCAAAATAACTACATAAGAGAGATATTTGAGGAAAATGTTTACAATTACTGTTAGTTAAATATGAATATGTTATACTGCAGACCTCCAAGAGTATCAATTAAAAACAACTATAAATGCTAGGAAAATTTGTTAAGGCACATGGGAAGAACATTATAAACAGAAATTATATACAAATATGCATGTATTTGTGTGTTTAAAGATAAAATTTAATAAGAGAACCTCATTTAGCATAGCAAAAATATATGAAGTTTCTGAGAGAAAAAAACTTAACAAGGAATGTGAACAATATAGATGAGTAAAACTTTACAATGCTCCAAAAATCCACCAAAGTCTACTGGGTTTCTTGTTGTGAAATAATCAGTGCTTTCAGTGTTTAATCTATTCTGGTTTGGGTCTTTTGCTACATGCTGCTGTGATATCCTGATACATATTAAATATTTAATCTGCCTGGCTCTACGAGTCTTACGTTATTATTCCTACCTGAAACATGAGAAAATGCAGTCAAAAGAAGATTAGATATCTTTTTCAAAGTTAGAGAACGACAAAATAGGGTTAGGATATAATTCCAAAGCTCAGGATGTTAGCAACTATTTTATGCTGTCTCCAACTATATCAAAAGGTACTCTACTCACCATCACTGGCCTCCCAATTATGTACACGTCCAGCCCTGAAACAGAATGTGTGTCAGAAAGTGGCAATACGGCACTCATCTTTATTATTTCCAGGCTGAGGTTCGTCATGGCAATCAGGATCTGCACGACCTAGAAATGATGAAGCAAAAGTAAAAACTGATTAGCTACCACTCCCTTTCCGACCACCAGGTCACCCCTCTTCTCCGTCTTCTGAAACAGTCAGATGGTCATATTTCCCTGTCGCTTTGCTTTCCTATAAAAAAACTACGGATACGTTAATTTACCCAAGGAGCTGCTTGGGATGTCTATCCCAGTTGCCTCGGTCATTTTCAAGGTAAAAAGAATGTACCAGGACCTACCCAGAGGTGCTTTACTGACCCCCGGGGCTGCTAGTCTACCATAGCTGTTGATCTCCTTTACATACTACACTCTCAGACGGCAGTGACCCAGGAATCAGGAAGCAATTAAAAATTATTCGAGCGAGGGAAAATAATGTGAAGGAAGGAGTGTACAGGAGAAGAAAAAGAGAAGTGCAACGTGATACTTTCTCGGTGTCTAGGGCCGGAGGACACAAGTGAGTCCAGGGCTCTGAAAATCAAAGTGCTGGAGTACGGTCATCCCACGGCATAAAAAGGATCCAAAGTGTGTTGTGATGACTCTGCCCCCTTGGTTTAAAGCTGGGGCTAGAGATAAACCCCTGTACTCCCTGTCCTTCCACCTGCACTAACCTGTCTTTCCTTAAACTCTCCATTTCTTTTAGGCACACCGCCCCGCCCCCAGACTCCAGACAGAAATGCAGAGGGAGCTGAAGAATTTTCATCCTCCGAGGAGCAGGTTAAGAAAATTCCCCAGAGATAGTAACAATGCGGGGCAATCAGCTATCAGGAAGACGTGCTGGGTGGACACCAGCTGGCCGACATGTGGCCTTTTTTTTTTTTTTTTTTTTTTTTGCTGCCTCTCTCCGCTGAAGCTAAAGTTATCACAGATGATGCACCACCCTAGAATCCATCCCAAGCCACTATACTCTCAATACAACTAAATTAGAAAATATAACAGAATATCATATCATTTTTGAGTGATAGGGCCTGAACATCATATACCCAGGCCCCTAGGGCTGGCTGATGTATTGTGAGGCTAATGGGACAGAGTATTTGGCATTAAAACTCATCGGCTATGAGTTTACAACCCGACTGGCCTCTCCCAGATCTGTAACTGACTTACCCCAAGGACTTTGGGCTCCCCCTTCAAAAACTTCTCTGGCATCCTTTTCCACAGATGTGACTGGATAACAGAGGGCTGCTCCAGCTGGTACCCACCAGGACCAGCCTCTGATATGGTCCCTTCCATTCCTTGCATGGTTGCCATGGCGGCAGAAAAGGGGCTGCGGTAAGAAATGTAATTTAGGATGAGGTCCTGGAAATGACAGGATAACCTGGGGTCTACATTCCCTTCCTGCATTATACAGCTATTAGAACATCTTTACAAAATGTTGTTCTTTTTTTTTAATGCTTATTTATTTATTTTACAAAGGACTTTTTTTTAAATGTTTTTTACATTTATTTTTGAGAGAGAGAGAGAGAGAAAACGCAAGTGGGGGAAGGGCAGAAAGAGAGGAGGACAGAGGATCCGAAGCGGGCCCTGCGCTGACGGGGAGAGCCCAAAGTGAGGCTCAAACTCACGATCTGTTAGATCATGACCTGAGCTGAAGTGGGATGCTTAACCGACTGAGCCACACAGGTACCCCAATGCTTATTTATCTTTGAGAGAGAGAGAGACAGAGGCAGAGACACACCGCAAAGGGGGCAGAGGCATAGGGAGAGGGAGACACAGAATCTGAAGCAGGCTCCAGGCTCTGAGCTGCCAGCACAGAGCCCAGCGCAGGGCTTGAACTCATGAACCACAAGATCATGACCTGAGCCCAAAATCGGATGCTTAACCAACTATGTCACCCAGGTGTCCTTGCAAAATGTAGCTCTTGCAAGAGCCAGCCAGGAAAGAGGAACAAGAAGCACCTTAAGGACAGAAACAGAGAAAGAGAGAGAGAGAGAGAGAGAGAGAGAGAGAGAGAAAAGAGAGAGAGAAATGCCATGTGTCATCAAGATACCAGAAAGCACTGAAGAGAGGGAAATCCAGAGAGAACTGAAGTGAATACGCGGGCCCCTCAAATACATGAAGTCCGCACTTATTATCTCTGTGTCTGTTATTGTATATCCCCTTGATGTCAGCCATTTCTCCTTTGAAAGGTAAATTTTATGATAGGAATAAACTGTGTTCCTGTGTATTGTAAAATCTCCCTTTTTGACTCAGAGCACAGTTACGTTCTCTGAGCTGGAAACTTTCTCCAGGTTCATCTTTACTAAATATGATTTATTTAATCTTGGATCCTACTTTGTAAACTCTGGACTTTGCAGAGAGAATTTACAATCCCAAATCACAGCCTTGGCACTGAGAATTTAAATCTCTTGCCCCCATTAAAATGTTTTAAATCCTGATTTGCTAATGCATAGCAAGGGCACATAAAATTATTTTTCTGAGACTCAGAGCACAAACATTACACTCTTATGCTGCTTCCTCTCCTCAATATAGTAATCCCAGTCAGATTATGTGGCAAAACATTTAAACCACCTGAACACTTTATTCATTTGCATCCGTATTCAGATGTCGCATGGCTCACATCCATAAATTTTGAGGGAAGTGAAACTTAAGTCTTTGCAAAGCCACCATCAATTTTGATACCATTTATGCTTCCCTGAAGCTCCATAAAAGTCTCAAGTTTGGACATGTGTGCTCTTTCATTTGTAGCACACAGTCAAAGAGTGAACATTTTCTCTGGAAAGCATTATTAACCTTATTTACACATGCTAGGCCAAAGGAAATACATTATTAGTGATCTAGCAAAAAACCTGGTGGAAATAAGAAAAACAAATGAGTTCATTTCAGAAACAGAGAGGGGAAAAAAAGTCCAAATGAAAATAAAGATTAATCACTTAAAACATTAAGTTAGTTTTAGTGACATATGTTCAAAGTCTGGAAAGCAGTACAATGAACAGTACAAAAGAGTAAATCAGAAAATAGTAAGCAAAGTAAAAACCTTGCAAATAAGATGACAGAAACAAATAATTAATTAACTCATAAGGAATACGTAACATGAAGGAGAATAAAACAGAGGATATAACCCAAAAGTCATTGTTTCTTCTTCTGTTCTAGAAGATTTCCAAAAGTACTACAGAGAAAGAAAATCAGAACTCCATTTTGAAACTGGGACACAACTAAAATGATCATAACTCAGACGAAGTAATTGTCAAAAACAGTGAAGGTTGCACGAGGATGAGTTTGGGGCAAATGCAGAAAGAATATCAAAGCAGGAAGACACCACGCCTCGGATTTCAGAGTACGCTTCTCAAAGACAAGAAGCCTGCTGAGGTATAAAACACACGCTCTTGTTTAGCATCCTGAGAATGAATGCCACCTGCGGACAGCTGCAGCTTCCCTGGGCAAGCATAGTTCTGAGAAGTCAAAGTTGGGAACACCAGAGAAAACACATCAAAAGGCCACTTTTGTAGACAGCCATCGGTGTCTGAATAATTCTTACACAGGAGTCCTCAAAGAAGGAAGCAAGTATTCTTGATGGAAATCTCCAAGAAATCCTACAGATTAGATTCATCTGAGTGTATCATCAGAATCAAAGACCCGCCAAGTGCACAAAGACCAAGAGATTTTGGTGAGGAGAAACACCAAGTGCCTCAGATATTATGATAGTCGGATACAGAAGATGTAATAACTATGGATGAAATAGTCAAATAAGAACAGAGTCACAAAAATGAGAAAGCACAGATAAAGTGCAAAAGTGATGTGACAAATTCAAACGGGAAGAAAACAATGTTGATGTTAAAAAAAACAAAACAAAACAAAACCAACTTGGTAAATGTGTTACACAGCAATGGACCACTGAAAAGAGAATAAGTGAACTAGAAGATAAATCTGGAAAAATGACCCAGGAGCCACAGAGACAAGGAAATGGCCATAATAGAAGAGATGTGAAAGATCAGAGGTACAGAATTACAAGGATGTTGCATGATACGAGAAGGAATGGTTAACAAAGAAACTGGTAAACATGCATGGATACATATTGTTTGTACAAAAATAAGAACTACAATATCTAACTCATTAGGTTAAACAAAGGACAAAATATAAAATACTGGACCCCCCAAAAAATCAAAACTTGGGACTGGCATGATGACAATTGGTCTTCTAACATCCTTGTTTTATTTGGGTGATGGATGAAGATAGTAACTTTAGATTTCAAGTAAGGATGAAAAAAATCAAGAGTTACCAATAAAGATAAGAAGTGGGTTGTGTAATTTTTTCAATAAAGAATGGAAAATATTATGAGAAAAGTGAATGATAAAAGATAAATGTGCTCTAATCAGCTAAAAAGGCAAGAAGGGAGATAAAATAAACAAATATAAACAAGACCAACAGAAAGCAAAAATATGGTAGAGGGACAATTGCCTCCAGAATTTCCCATTGAGGACATCTGAAAACCTACTCTTCTCTAAAAGCACTGAGATCCCTCCGGAAAAATGTTGAAAATCAACTTTTTCAGAACTCTAGACATTGAACAAGATCTTGCGACAATCTAAAAAGCATTTATCCAAGAAGAATGGTTGAAATTTTGGTTAGCATATTGAACTCTGTCATTTTTCCTTTGTGGTAAAATATTCACAGGATAAAATTTGCCATTTAAACCAGTTTTAAGTGTATAGTAGCTTTAAGTGCACTCACAAGATTGTGCAAGAATTATCACCATCCATTGCCAGAACCTTTTCTACTTGGAGCTGAAACTCTGTACCTACTAAAGTAACTCCTTGTGTCCACCTATCCCCAGCCCCTGGTAAAGATTACTCTACTTTCTGTGTCTAGGAACTGAATTATTGTAAAAATCTCATTTAAGTGGAATCATGCAATGTTGTTCTTTTGTTACTGGCTTGTTTCACCTAACAAGATGTCTTGGTCTCACTTATGTTGCAGCCATGCGTCAAAATTTGTTTTCTTTTTAAGGCTGAATAATATTCCATTGTATGTGTAAACCACACTTTCTTTATCTGAGTATTGCGTTGGTTCTATTCAATACTTACATCTTAGCAGTACTAAGTCTTCCAGTCCATGAACATGGAATGTCTTTCCATTTACTTGTGTTATCTTCAATTTCCTTTAGCAATATTTGATAGTTTTCAGTGTTGCATGTCTCATCTTCTTGGTTAAGTTTAAGCTTAAATCTTTTATTATTTCAATGCTTTCATAAACTGAATTATTTTCCTAACTTCCTTTTCATATTGTCCATGGTTAGTGTATAGAAATGCAGTTGATTTTTGTGTGTTGATTCTGTGTCCTGCAACTTTCCTGAATTTATTAGTTCTAACAGTTGCGTGTGTGTGTGTGTGTGTGTGTGTGTGTGTGTGTGTGTGTGTGTGTGTGTGATTGTTAGGGTTTTCTACATATAAAAACATGTCATCTGTGAAGAGAGATCATTTCACTTCTTCCTTTCCAATTTGGATGCCTTTTATTTCTTTATCTTGCCGAATTGCTCTGACCGGGACTTCAATTTCTATGCTGAATAAAAGTGGCAAAAGCAGGCATCCTTGCCTTGTTCCTGATCTTAGAGGAAAAGGTTTCATTCTTTTACCATTGAGTATCATTTTGGCTGTGGATTTTTTATATCTGGCTTTTATTATGTTGAGGTAGTTTCCTTCTATTTCTAGCTTTCTGCATTTTTTTTTATCATGAAAGGATGTTGAACTTTGTCAAATGCTTTTTCTGCATCAATTGAGATGATCACATGTGATTATTTATATCATTTTGTTAATATGGCATATTAATTGATCCATTCTTATATGTTGGACTATCCTTACATACTAGGTATAAGTCTGACCTGGTCATGGTATATAATCCTTTTAATATGCTGTTGAATTTGGTTAGTTCTTTGTTGAGGATATCTGTATCAATAATTATAAGGGATAGTGCTCTGCAGTTTTCTTGTCATGTCTTTATCTGGCTTTGGTATCAGGGTATTGCTGACCTTGTGGATTGACTTACAGGGTGTTCCCTCCTATTGAATGTTTTGAAAAAGTTTGATAAGGATCGGTGTTAATTGGTCTTTAAATGTTTAGCAGATTTTACCAGTGAAGCTATCTGGTCCTTGGCTTTTCTTTGTTGAGAGGTTTTCTTTTTTTTTTTTTAATTTTTTTTTTTCAACGTTTGTTTATTTTTGGGACAGAGAGAGACAGAGCATGAACGGGGGAGGGGCAGAGAGAGACGGAGACACAGAATCGGAAACAGGCTCCAGGCTCTGAGCCATCAGCCCAGCGCCTGACGCGGGGC